ATATATATATATATATATATATATATATATATATATACGTAAAACATGAAAATTAATCAACGGAGCAGGAGTGTTTCAGTCCATTAGGTTGTGCGCATTAAGTAAGACTATTTAAAATATATGTATAAAGGTGAAATTAAAGAAAATTTAATAATAAAAAGGATGAGGAACGAAATGTGCCATATAAGTAAAAGGAGAAAGGCAGACTTGGCAGCCCGGTCCAGAACAGCAGAAGAGAACTACGTATTACTGAGCCTAGCGGTTATACATCAGCCGGCTAGTTTTTGTTCGGTCAAGTTAGCGTAATTAACTAAATTGTCCAATGAACATATGAGAGATAAGGTGCATTTGGCCGATCCGTCAGCAGTGCTACCACATTGGTATCAGATCATCTCAGCAATCGTTAACCTTACTGATTTGTGGGCAGTACCAGAAATTTCAGATCCGCAACGGCGTCAACAGGGATGCCGTCTGGAGTACTCAGACATGCATCATCCCCGTATCAAACATCTGCTCCAATGAGTACTTATACGGGACAGAATTTCACTCGCCCACAGAATTATCATAATTCTTTCGTAAGTTCTTTTTTTTTGATAAATATTTAATATTAAATGCTAAAATATTTATTATGTTTAAGCAGCATTGTTAACGTTATTCCACGAGTAAACATTAGGTAGTGGGGAAGTATATTAAGCATATTAGGGAATGAAGTCTGTAATATATATATATATACATTTATATGTGAAAAGTAAATAATTTATCTGAGATTAAAATGCTTCTGATTGGTTAAGTCGCAACTTTTTTGGTAACCTTTTTAACGATCTATCAAAAAGTGCGTCCAAAATTTCAGTTTTTTATCTTATCCACAGTGGCTCGATGTTCATTGTATTTTTTTTCAGCAGCAGCAGCAACAGCAACAGAATGCGTGCAATGGCTATGGAAGTGGCAACGGAGCCCAGTCGCAGAGTGCCCCAAGGAGTTCTGCAGTCAGTACTCGTCGCGATAGCACCAGTTCACCAGTTGCACCACTAAGCACGGTATGTTGGCGAGCATCCCAGAATTTTCAGATCTGGTACGAATTGTTATCCACCAGTGTTGCCACCAGTAGTATACTTTCAGTGAATTGTAAACCAAGTTTGGCATCCAGGTTGACATTGAAAGCCTAAATGACGAAGACACGATAGATTACAATATGAGAGAAGGAGATAAAAGTGAGATAAGACGTTCCGGTCCGTCCAGTCATGCGTCTTAACTCACAATCGCGACAGGATCTCATCAGTATGACGTGCTGGATGTGAAAGGAAGAGAGTGAGACTTCAGAAAGAAGCAAAAGGAAAAACAATGTGATTGTGGAATTAAGTGGGGTAAGGAGGAAGGGGAAAAGGAAGGAGGATTGACACTTAAGTTTACACAAAATTTGGGGCATGGAAACCAGGAAAGCGGCAAGTTGGAATTTTGATGGATTATTACATCAAGTAGATGGAGGCGTAGCAAACATAGAATCACTTCCCACTCCTTGCTGTATGCAGATCTCTATTCTGAAATCGAGATTTTGACAGACTTCATAGCATTTGACTTCTGAGGTTTGCTTTTCCCAAATATTGTGACTCCTGAAGCTTGCTTTTCCCAAGTGTAATTGGGCTGACCTCATGTGCACTGCTGTCTTAATTGTCATTTTTTGTAATTTGCAATATGTGCAAAATGCAGTCTTTAGCTTGTTACAGACAAATGTGTACATTCGTGGGCTTCAGCAGAATACGACGGATGAAGACCTGATGAAAATGTGTGCCAGATTCGGACGAATCGCCTCAACGAAAGCTATCACAGTAGCTGTTTTTTCTGTTTAATTTTTTCACTTACAAGTTATTTTTGTCGGTTGACATAATGCACTGGACAGTACCGCGCAATTATTGTACATCAGCTTGAATGTTCGACTCCGCCGATGGGCAGCTAGTCCCCCTATGATTTGTTGGCTGATAAACTGGTACTGTTATATCAAATCCACTATCAGCTTGCTGTAAGCAACACTTGAAAGAGAGAACTGTGGACAGCCTCGCCAGGGATTGGTTGCTCTTGACATTTGCCTCCAACACCCGGACTAATTCCCGAGTGTCCCCGTTACTTACAGAGATGGAGTGGGATAAAGGAAAAAAGGGAAACGGGAGGGCGGGGGGGGGG